TTTTAAACAATGAGATTTTTTTAAAGAATTAAAACAATTACGCTTATTAAAATAACTATAATTTCTTAATAATGCATTATTTCATAAGATTTATAAAAAAAAAAAAAAAATTTTTTCAAAATTTAATTTTTATCCAATTATTTTGTGTAATATGCCATGTGGTTCTTATTGTAGAGCTTGATCAGTTACTTTAAAACAATATCTCTAAACAATGTTAATGATTGGTTATGGGATGGTCCATAAAGTAAGTAAGCTTTTTTTTTATCTCTTCCATCCCCTCCCCTTCCTGCATTTTGTTTTACACTTTTTTTGAAATTAAAAGGGAAGGTACTTTTTTTACCTAAAAGTACCTACCCTTTCAACCTACCTACTCAACATTTTATGATATCTTTTTAAATTTAGTGTCTCCTTACTTTTATAATTGACCTCTCTCCCCTATTAGAGTGTACTTTATGTATAATCCTTTATATATGTACTCAAGGCCGCCGAAAGCTTTTATGGCGCCCAGGGCATAGCGTTGAGTAGATGCTCCTTTAAGCATACATGATTTTTAAAAAATTCTATCGAATTCATTCATGCATATATATGACTGTACACGGTTTTAAAATGAATTTTCTTAATTGTGGTTTATTTTTATTAAAATCATTTTGCGGCAAAATTTTTAATAAATGCGCCAATAAAAAATACAACTAAGCAACGCCAATACAACATAAAGTGCATTATTAGACATTCTTTAGAAATTAAAATGACAAAAAATGGCCTACATAAAACACTCTTTTCTTGCTTTTTTTACCGGCAAAATTTATTATTGTATCATCGTATGAAAGAGTCTTAGCCAACTCATTTTTCACAGAAAACATCATGAGATCCAAAAGACGTTCTTGTCCCATAGTGGCCCTACAATAATTCTTTATCAATTTTAGTTTACTGAAGGATTGTTCACTCTCTGCAACAGATACTGGAATTGTATTAAAAATTCGAATTAAGATGCATACATATGAAAAAATAGGCTGCAGACTCTTTGAATGTATTTGGTTAAGAAGGCTCAATGAGTTTCTAGGAATAAAAAACAAAGACTCCTTCAAACAATTAAGATGCAAAATTTCTTGTATGAAGTCATCTTCTTTGACATCATTAGCATAGAACTGTACTAATTCACGAGCTTTGATCTCATGAGAATCTGGTTCCTGGTCTTTCAGCCAGATGAATGAGAACCTTGAAGAAACACTCTTTACTATGTCAAATCTTGACTGAATTTGATAAATAAAATGATCAAAAGCGACGTTAAAGATGTTTGCCTCAAATTGATGCTTGGGGCTCTGATAGCAGAAAGCTGCATTTTCAAGTTCATTGTAATACCGTTTCACTCTCTTCTTTTGTTTTGCCAAAAATTCCATTTCAAAGCCTAGAGGACCTGCAACAGCTTTTGCTTCAGTCAAAATATTACTCCATGATGAGCGGAAGCAGCCAAGATCGCTTATTAGCTGTTGAATTAAAATAACTTTGTCATCTATTGTTAGTGAAGTTGACTGGAACAAATGGCTTAATTAATCTACTACTTGAAGAGCTTTATATCAAAAGGTCACAAGAACAACACTTTCAAAGGATTTAAAAAAATTTATCAAAGACTTAGCTTGATTTAGCATTTACTTATTAATATATTTTAACCTTGTTTTACTTTTACTTTTTTTAATTTTTATATCTTTAAAATAACTTTTTAATTTATTCTTTTTTTTTTTTGTTTTGTTTTCGCTTTTCACCTTTGAATGAGCAGATTCGCCATTTGAGATGCAATTGCATAGAGTGACATTGAAATATGCACTTTAATACTTTCGTGAGATTATATGCCAAAATGTAATACATCATTACTTTCATATTATGCATATATACAAAAATAGTTCTCTATATTATCTTGGCGCCTGGGGCACATTTGCTCCCTTTGCCCCCTTCTCAGTGGCCGTGTACGTACTTTATGGACAATCCTTAATAAAAAAATACTTTGTCTTTATGTTAAGTCACATGATTTGCTTTAACGTTTTTAATTAGTTGAAACATTTTTAAAATAGATATAAACATGTGAGTTCCAAATAAAATTAGGAAAAGATTTAAACGTTTTTTTTTTTTTTTTTAATATTATTGATATTTTATTTTTTTTATACTATCTTTTTTATTATTTCTCTTATCTTTAAAATTTGCCATTTACTTTATTATCATAGTTTTTTATGAAAATAGTTTCAAACTCAAATGATCCTGAGAGATTTCTACATAAGTATTTTTTAATTGATAAAACTGCAAAACTGGTTACATGTAAGATTACAGAAAAGTTAAATGGTAAAGTGATTTCATGCGCCATGCAAATTAAAAAATCAAAAGTTTACAATATGAAACAGCATATGGAAAAATCATATCTATCAGAATATAAAATTGTTGAATCTGAAAGAAGCCTTATGGCCCAAAGAAAATCTTCAAAATTATTTTATCACATTCACAAGATTTCAATACTAAAAAAACTAAACAGATTACTTTAGATTCTTTTGTTATTGCTAGTAGTTGAACAATAAATCAAGTTAGTGCTAAAATTTTTGAAATTGGAATTATTAAAATGGCAGTGAATAACAGAGTTTTGTTGAAACATTTGGCTACAGGCAAATTAGGTAAAACTCTTGGATTCAGTAACGACACAATTCTGTGCTCAATTTGATTAATGAATTTGCTGGAAGAAAAAAAAGCTGAAATAAAGGAAATATTGTTACAGAAATTCATTTAAAAAAATAAATGCAGCCACTCAACACTAAAATAACTATTTGGAGATAAATATTCAATACTATTAAGAGAAAAATTTTTTTAAAATTTGGCACTGATAGATACACAAGGACAGCACAACCAAAATCAAAAAAATGGTGGAACATACCCATATAGATTTGGTATCAGCAATGATCAAATAGTATGTGCAAGTGTAGACAATGCAGCCAATATGATTAGAGCAATCACAATTTTAAACAAATATTCAGGTGATTAAAATTTTTCAGATGAAGCTTTGCATGATTAAGAAAAAGTTGAATTTTTACAACAGCATACAAATGAAGAACAAAGTGAAGGAGCTCAGAAAGAAAATCTAGCCTTTATCAACCCAGAATGGTGTCAACAATTTCTACTGACATTAAGCTGATGCGCTGTGTTATTCACACTTTGCAGCTAGCTATTCATATGATTTTAAAAAAAACATACTTTGCCTAACTTTTGGCAAAA